TAAGAGAGCATATATTCAATGGTTTTGAGCATTCTAACACCATTATGGTGTACATACAACCCTAGAAACCTTGGATCTATGTTTTACATATGATACTTTCAAAATTGTTTTTCCAAGGCTTTTAACGTATCTAGCATACATGGGGAACTTTAAACATAAAAGTTAGTAAGAAATACATACCTTGTAGTAGTTGGGATTCCTTAAAAACCTTGTGAGTCTAGCACCTCAAGTGTGATGCCTCAAATGTCTCACACAACACCGAATGCACTTGGAATAACATAGAGAGAAGTGAAGAACACTTAGAAATCGGCTAGCCCTCACTTGTACATCTTAGTGGCTGATTTTGGTGAACAAAGTGTTACTTATATACTGTGTTACAATTAGGGTTAAACCATGTAAACCCTAATATTCATGACTTTTCATTTCATTGACCCATGGGTTCTATAAATACCATGGAGCATCCATGAAGCATCCTATGGGTTTTAGCCCAACTTGATAATCCACGAAGCATTAGACCACTATATAAGTATGGATGATTAACACAATCAACCCATATATTTAATTAGTCTCCTTTTGATCACTTAATTAATTCCAAATTAATTCTTGATCAATAGTAATTAAATAGTATTATTAATATATTAGAACTTATAATATATTAATAAACCTTAAGTGTTATTTCTCTCATTTTAGTCTATCCAAATGCATGATGCCATGCAACCCAAATGGACCATGCCAAACCGGGTCAAGTACATACTAAAAATAGTTATGGACTTAGAAACCTTATCCAAAAGTCTCCCACTTGGATGAGTCTAATAACTATAACTGCAAGTATGACTTCAGGAACCGATTAGCAATCGTAGCTCTTTTAAGGTCTCTCGGAACTGAGATGATGATGATACACCACTGAAGATAAGCGATCATATAATCATATGTTCTAGATATTAGCCTGAAAAATATATGGAACTATGTCTTACCTTTTGTCCTGTAGTTGTTTCCCGATTTCCGATTTGTTTAACATAGAACTTAATCGAAGACATCAATTTAGTTCTTACCAGGCCTGGTACATAGATCAAAACACAATCATCGAGGGGCCCAGATATCGCTTCAAATCCAAGAAGGAATAGATAAACTTCGAATCATATGGTTGTTCTACTACTTGTTGAATTACACACAAAGGCACATTTTATAACATCGAGTTACCAATGCGTTTTCGTACAATCAATGCATAACCGAGTCATAGGCAACAAGTCATATCTCTAGTTATGAAGACTTTTATGGTATTACCGTCTCACGATCACTCGAGATAAATTCCATGAAGTGACACAAGTGAGCGTGTGTTGAATCCAATACTCAGAACGTATGAGCACTCATGAGTCTTGTAGAACCTCTTTGCTATTTCCAAAAACTTAGACATCTAGAAGCCAACTCATGACAGTATTGATTCATATCTACTTCCAACATATTGCTGACTGTGGAGAATTTGAATAATATGATATACCATAACATAATTATTCTGGAAGTCAAAACATGCAAAATAACATTATAGTAAACGATTGAAAAAATATAACAACACTTTACTCATAAATGAATAACAACTTTTATTCATCATCAAATGTCAAATACACTTTACAAATTTCAAAGCTATCTAACTACTGAAACTAATATCATCCTTTAGTCCTATGCACCTCGCATGCTGGAGATGCTTAACCCTACCCAGTCCCTTCGTGAGGGGATCTGTTGGGTTCTCATCCGATGATACCCTCTTCGCCACGATGATTCCTTCTTCTATACGATGTCTGATGAAATGATATTTTATGTCGATGTGTCTGGATCTCCCGTGATCCCTTGGTTTCTTGGCTAAGGCAAATGCACTTGCACTATCACATAAAATTTCCATAGGTTCCTTTATAGATGGTACAACTCCAAGGTCTATAATGAAGTTCATTAGCCATATAGCCTCCTTTGTTGCCTCGCTTGCTGCTATATACTCTGATTCACAAGTTGAATCAACCACTGTCTCCTGCTTGGAACTTTTCCAAGTTATTGCTCCTCCCTTTAAGGTAAAGACTCAGCCTGAATGAGAGCGGAAATTATCCCTATCAGTCTGGAAGCTAGCATCACTATACCTTACTACTCTCAAGTCATCACTTCTACTGAGGGTAAGGACCCAGTCCTCAGTCCTCCGTAGGTACTTGAGAATGTTCATCACCGCAGTACAGTGAGACTTGCCAAGGTTCCCCTGATATCTGTTGACCATGCTCAAGGCGCAGACCACCTCAGGACGAGTACAAGTCATAACATATATGATCAAGCCTACAGTGGAAACATACGTAACTCGAATAATCTCAACTATCTGGTCCTTTGTACTTGGACTTTGAGTCTTACTTAATCTGACATTACTCTTGATTAGTAACTCTCCTTTCTTGGAATTCTGCATGTTGAACCTATTCAACACCTTATCCAAGTAGGCACTTTGACTAAGTCCAATTAGTCTTTTACTCCTATCTCTCAAAATCCTTATCCCTAGGATATAGGCATTTTCTCCAATGTCCTTCATAGCGAAACACTTCCCAAGCCAGGACTTAACCTCCTGCAAAGTTGGGATGTCATTTACCATGAATAGTATGTCATCCACATATAGTACCAAAAATCTAACTATACTCCCACTTGCCTTGCCATATACACAAGTATCATCTTCACTCTTCGAAAAACCAAACTCTTTAACTTTCTTATCGAAATAAAGATTCCATCTATGAGGTGCTTGTTTCAATCCATAGATAGATTTCTCAAGCTTACACACTCTATTAGGGTATTTTGTGATGACAAAACCCTCTGGCTGACTCATGTAAACATCCTCAACCAACTTTCCATTAAGGAAAGCGGTTTTGACATCCATTTTCCATATTTCATAATCATGAAATGTAGAAATGGCTAACATAACCATAATAGACTTAATATTCGCTACTGGTGAAAAGTTCTCATCATAATCAGCTCCCGGAGTTTGAGAAAAGGCCTTTGCAACCAGTCGTGACTTATAAGTGTGTACATTATCATACATGTCAGTCTTCTTCTTGAAGATCCATTTGCACCCACCTATCTTCGACCTGTGACATTGTAAACCAAGTTCCAAACTTGATTGTAATACATGGACTGTATCTCGCTGTCTATAGCCTCTTTCCATTTAGCAGCCTCAAGGCTTGCCATGGCTTCCGTGTAGCTGTTAGGTTCATCTAGAGCAATCACTGTGTTATCACTGATAAGTGTATCACCCTCCGTAGTAATATGGAAACAATAGTAATGCTTAGGTGCATTCCTATCTCTCGTGGAGCACCTCAGAGGTACAGACTCATCAGTCAGATCAATAGGAGTTTCCTCCTCAGGTTGATTGCTAGGGTTCGAGGTTCCTTCACCACTTGACTCTTGAATTTCTTCAAGGTTAATTTTCCTCCCACTGTTTCCTTGGCTATAAAGACCATATTATCATGGGTTCTATAGAAGAGGTAACCGAAGGATTTCTGTGGGTATCTTGATGAAAATATACCTCTCACTTCGGGGTTCGAGCTTATCGAGAGTCTCGCGCCTCACGAAAGCCTCGCAACCCCAAATCTTGATGTGGTGCAGATTTTGAACTTTTCCTGTCCACATCTTATGAGGTGTTTTGGCAACCTTTTTTGGTAGGGACTAGATTAAGAATGTGGGTGGCAGTCTCTAAGGCATACCCCCAAAATGAGATAGGTAGCGAAGCTTGACTCATCATGGAACAAACCATGTCCAACAAGGTTCGATTACGCCTCTCAGCCACACCATTAAGTTGTGGTGTCCTGGGAGGTGTCAATGGTGAGAAAATTCCACATTTTCTTAAGATAGTCAAGGAACTCTGTACTAAGATACTCACCACCTCGATCGGATCGAAGCATCTTAATGTTCCTGCCCATTTGATTCCCCACTTCCTACTTAAAATCTTTGAAGGTTTCCGACTTATGGTTGATTAAGTAGACATATTCATATCTACTAAAATCATCAGTAATAGTCACATAATAGTAGTTAGCATCCCTTGTGGCAGTTCTGAAGGGTCCACACAAATCAATGTGTACCAGATCCAACAAACCTTCACCCCTAGCACAAGAACAAGTGAAGGGTGATTTTATCATTTTTCCAAGTAGACAAGATTCACAACTATCATCCAACTTTAGGTCATATCACTCCAAGACTCCATCCTTTTGGAGTTGGCCTATGCGTTTCTTGCTTACATTTCCAAGACTACAATGCCATAATGATGCTTTATCTAAGTTAGTGGAAGAATCAATACACAACACAGTATTTCGTATATTATCTACAACAGACTCAACTTCATACACACCATCACAAGGCACTACTAGAAAAACAACCTTTTACGACGTGCAATGTGTGTCATAAAACGCTCAGACGACGCGTAAATGTGTGTCAAGGAAGGCCATGTCATAACGAGAGACGACACGCTTTTGCGCATCGTCTATAGACGACATGCATTTACGACACGCACTGCGTATCAAGGAAGGCACCGTCATAAAGAAAGACGACACACATTTGTGTGTTGTAACCTTACAACACGCGTGTTTATGACATGCAATGCATATCAAGGAAGCCCCTTTCATAAATGAAGATGACACACATTTGCGTGTCATAAACGTCAGTAACCATTTTTAATATGCGTTTACGACGCGTCTTTACGATACTCATTTACGCATAATACAGTAATATGTAAACACTTATATACCAAAACAATCAATTTCATCCAAGAACATCATGTCAAAAAGGTGTAAAACATTGATATTATGGGGATCTAATTGTACATTGTTATTAAGAAGTTATCCCTAACTATATAACCTAATACTACATTGCTATTAAGGCATACCTTCTGCAATGTAATGATATATAAACTAAAAGGATACACACAAAGATGATAAACATCAAATTCCAACTAAGTAGAGTCGCATCTTGCCTATCATAATTCTTTAAGACTAATGAACCTCTTCTCCGATAATTCTTGTGACCTGATCAAATAAAATTCAAAAAATTAATATGCTAATATAATTGTTAGAAGAATCAAACATGTAATGTTAAATGTAAAAGAAAAAATTACCCTTTTCTCCATCCAAAGAATATGGGACCACACTTCAGATATGATATTTAATTAAGATTCGACCTTACATCATTTACCTGTTTAAAGTAAAACTCAAATTATAAACATTTTTAATTATAAAATTATGAAAAAATGTTGAAACTATTAATTTGCTAGACCTTCCCGGTTAGATGTCTTGTTCTCCCAAATATTTTATTTTCTTTTATCAAATATTACATCTCATACAAAAACAAAAAATATGAATGAATTTGGTTTACTACATACAAGGTGTTTGAGGTGTTTGAATTCTCCTGCAAGAACATCTGCCATAAAGTGTTCCACTTCAATTTCCTTGAGATGCATGCAGTCCCTTAAAATCATCACCTCCAAATTATCTCCACCACCATTCGCACTAAGGTTCCTATCATTCCAAAATTTAAATCCACAACTAAAATAAAAGAATTTTGTTTGATTTGTGCTCATGATTGCTTACTTTAAAGAGGAACCCATGAATGAGTAAGATGTTGAAAGGTCAATATGTTTCAATTTCTGTAGCCCCTAAAACATTAACAACATACTTCAATACTTGTTACTTGTTGTTAAGTAGGAAATAGGAAAAGCACTATGTGTACCTTCACCAGCATATGGGCCTTGTAGTCATGAAGTTTGAATCCTTTTAGTGCTAAAGTGGTTATGTTAGGATAGTTGAGCACAAATTCATTGCAGGTTGGGAATTTTAAACCATCGTCTCTACCTGTATTGTATATGTGGAGAAAATAATGTGTTAATAAGAAAAATATTAATGAACGTATGTTGCAATCATAGAAGTAAATTTAATAGACAGCATAGTAAGCCACAACAAAAACTCTTTAAAAATGACCAATGAATAATAGTAATGAATAATGAGCTTATGTAGAAGCCTGGTAAGTGATAACAACTAGAAAAGCGCAGAATTGGTTCTGAGAAACATCAAGTTTATTAAAACAATGCAGCCAATATAAAATATTGAAGACAAACAAATTGAAAGCAGAAAAATAGAAGTTAAAGGACACACTCAAGAGACCTTGGTTGTAAGGTTAATTGGAGATAAACCGAAAAGATGATTTTACGAACGGGTCAATGACAAAGAGTCACCAGTAAGTGTCCGAGATATGAACAACATCAATGAGGATATTTGGTAGGAAGTGATGAACTGATGAACAAAAGAGTAAATGTGATCAAAAATCAATATGTACGACACATGTGACTTGTGATCTCACTTATAATATCCTACACAAAAGACTGAGGCTGAATAAAGTTGATCCCATGCCTCTCATTACAATTACTAAGTAGTTCAATAATATAAGAGATCTATCAAAGAATCAACCCATGCATGATGTAATTCTTCAAAGCATGTGTTGATGAAAGGGGAAACAGACTTGAGCACATAGTTCACTTCTGCAGTAGAGGGGACTCATTTTTTTGGCAAATTTGAAATACTGGGCTGTAATTGTTGATAGTGTCGAAGTAAATACGTATTGAACTTCAGATGGGGTGATACATTGGTATATAATAAACTAATACCCAACTAGAATAGCAACTTCGCAAGCAAGAATCCCCAGTCCAATAAACTTACAGACATTATACTTAAGCAACATTGGAGAGAAATTAGAAAAGGTCACAATCCAACCTTCTTATTTTCAGTTGATGACGCTTTTTAATTTATTGGCATCAATGGAAGGCATAAGAGGCGCCACAGACCTGTAAACGCATAAACCTACAACCATAAATGCTTCAAAAAATCAAGAAACCACACATTATCTCAAAGGATTTTCTATATATTCCAAGATCATTTCCATCAACACCAATTATGGCTACTGAGTTGTAATGTGCATTATTTTGCTTCCTCAAAAAAGCTCACAAGTATAACAACTCCCAATTCCTTTGCAAGTTTCTGCATCCTGCAAATTATATGTTTGATCTTACCTAAAATGAAAATGGTGATCTTGTTTCACACTGTATTAAACCTTAAACCTTGGTACATGTTTTATCGTTTCGCCGCTACACTCACTATTTATGTCAGCCATCAAAACTTCACCACCAAACTCACCTGAAACACCATACACCTCTCAACCCTATTGCAAATGACAACCAAATCTGAGAAATTTAATTACCTGCTCCGTTACACTCTCCACGAACCCATCATAACCGAATATTTCCAGCCTCCATCAAATCACCCTTACCTGCTCACTATCGAAACCAACATCATTAATTGAGCCATAAAATAGAAAAGTAGAAGGAGAAAAATAAATAAGAGTGACCCGAGACCCTCCTGCTACCAATCGAAACAAGAACAAGGAGAAAAAGAAATAAGTGTTTTTTTTGTTGTTCCTGTGATTTTCGTTTGAAGCAGAATACCGAAGATTTTTTTTTTTTTTTTTTTGCATGAATAAGAAGAACAAGAAAAAAAAATCACTTAACTGGAGGCCACTACCCTCTCAGAGCCCACTGTTCATCATCTTCTTCGTCTCGAACATCTCAAACCTGCAACATAAACCGGAAAATGTTTTGCATTCAAGACCTTAGCAGCAGCCTCAACTGATCCCATGTTGCATTCAATAAGAGTTGTTGAGCTTGAATCTCCTTCCTTGATGTCTTCATATACAGTAGAAAAAGAAGGAAAAGAACAGTGTGCATCACCATTGATCCGATTCAGAGGAATATACCTATAAGTAAAATACCAACCAGCTTAATATATATAGTATATACAACATAATTACACGTCATTGTGTATGTATAAATAGATATTATACCTATAGAAATATTCTGGATCTATCTCTTCTCTTATATAATGAGGACGACCCGCATACACTACCATTCAAATGTCTGAATTACCCCTCTTAACCACAATTACATTCCGTGCATGAGGTGCAAAATCCAAATACCCTCTCACAAGTTCACATGGTACTTGAGGCTCCATTCGATCACAAAGGTACTGAATTATAAGCAAATAGGACAAGAAATAAATTACTTATTTATACACAGAAATTAAATGACGCATTACAGATTACCCAAGTAAATAGATTATTAAACTACCTTCACGAGAAATGACCTTTGTCTACAAACACCAAATTGTAGAGTTCTAATAGGGGCAACAACGAAATTTCTCCTTGCTTTTATCAACTGAAGAGATTTTTCACATAGGAGAGCAGTGTCATCTGCTGAGTTTACATTTTGTTTTATGGATTTCATAATATTGTTGTTGTTCCCAATTGAACAAGTGCAGACAAAAGGCTTGTTATAGTTTGATCCAGATACAGACTTCCGTGCCTTATCAACCATTGTACTTCTGTCACTCCCTCCAAAGTGATCAGATACAAACAGAGCAAGCAAGGAAGCAATTTGTAATTTACCTAGAAAAATGTCTCCCTCATCTTTCGTGGAACCATACATCTGATTTAAATGAAACAACAATGGTTGAGCAAAAAGTGTTACATCATCTAACTCTTCATCCTTTCCCCTGAAAAAACATTAACTCCAGTTTACATATCATTGTCCTTCAATAGAAAATAGCTGATTATCAAGATTACAAAAACTACCTATCCATGACTATAACTTCACGTGAGCCAAGATGCAAGCTTTTCTCATAGCTGCTGAGAGGCAAGAAAGGACGATCTCGCCCTGCATCATAATTGAACAAGCTTTCTTTGGTATTTTGCATTCAAAAAAATTAAATGTTTAATCACTCTAATAGTTCATATTTGAAAAAGCTTGTACTTACTAGATATTGAGCATATTAAGACATTATCACCTACTTTCAGAAACTCTTTAGCTAAGGCATAACCTATTCCTAAAAAACAGTATTTAAATTAGCAAGAAAACTAGAATTTTCATATAAAAAATAACTCATCTTTACATACCAATCATCATCCTCATATTTTTCCTTTAATTTCCATTTTCTCAAATGTTTTTTAAATATCATTAATCTTGACAACAGTTAATAAGATTAAAACAGACCTATGAGTAGATTTCTACCAAACCTTGCTAGTAAGTTCAGTGATGTTCTGTACAAATTTTGACTTTTCATCAGTTTTGTATTTAATTATATAATGATCAATAAAGTGAAATCATCTCACCTAACCTAACTTAATAGTTAACACACTTACCTTAATTACTTCATCTGAAACAACACCAGAAAACTGGTTGGAATCATCTGTGCCTCCACCACACAACATACAACGGGAAAGCCACTTCAACCATTCTTGTGGTTTGCCAGATGTTTGGTCATCATCCATTAACTTGTCGATTGGAGTATTTGCCTCACCATTTCCAAAAACATAAGCTGAATCCACCAAGAACTCCTACATGTTCATAGTCTTTAATAAAATGTATAAGTAAAAAGCACATGCAATAGATATTAACAATGATCATAAACATACTTGAAGCTCATGTTCTGCAGCAGACCTATAACTTAAGATATCTTCTATATCCGATACCTTCTCTATTTCGTCAAACTCCAAAACAATTTCATCATCCATAGGCTGATCATAATTCATATACGCCAAATAATGTTTGAATCATATACACCATATACTATTTAAATCAAGAAAACTATATGGATAATAACTAATGACCTCACCTGCTCTTTTCAGAGACATTCCAGTTTCAACTTGTACAATTTAACATATCGTCTTTTTCTGCCTCTGTACAAGTAAAAGTATTTAAAGGGTTTAAGATATCAAGCATTCCATGATGAAAATGCACACAAAAAATAGTATAATATGGTAGATCATAAATGTTAATCTTGAATAAAGAACAACTTACAGACATTCTCCTAAGTATTTCCATGAAGTTTTCTTCATTCTTTTATGAACATCTGATAACACAGAGTTTTGAGCATAATGCCACCATTGTATCTGCCATTCCAAAGATCTTTTTGATATAGGTATCCCCCAAGGGCGATATCGTCCATATCTAAAAACATTAAAAGACCAATGTGCCTCACAATCTGAAAGTGTAATTATAAAAGGATAACACTAATAAGACAACATTCCACTTACTTCTCTCTTAGCTGACAAGTGCATAAATAATCATACAGATACAATATTTGTTGCAATTGATCTTCATCAAGGGACAAGACCTAAAAGTTGGTGACATGCTGACATGTCACTTGAATGTTATGTAATCTGACATAATAAACTAAGAAATGATTAATTAGTTTCTTATAATTAGAAAAGTTAAGACACTAACCAAGCTAGATAACTTGATATCAACCGACTATTGTGTTGCATACTTGCATTATTCTCAAGCCTTCTAGACCTGTTCACCTACAATGTGCAACAGTAAAAATCTATCTAATGTACAAAGTACAACCGTTCTAAATTTGTTATGAGATGATGCATACCGAAAGAGAAGCAGATACATCAACTGGGGAAAACATGTGAACATGTTCATCATTTTGAAAGCTTGCAGCAACCATTGACATGGAGTCTTCACCATTGTTGGCATACAGATCTTCCGTAGATCCATGAAAGGTTTTACAATAGATTTCCAATCCTTGTATCTCAACAAGTTTGTTTACTTGGCCAGCTCTCACGTTTCTACTTAATATCTTGAAATTATATTAGAGACATTGAGAGTTTTAAGTAGTCAATCAACTGAGAAAAAAATATCAATTTCACAGATTGGTTTTTTTGAAACTGTTGTGAGAATCAAAGATAAGGTATTTGAAGAAAACATGAAAGTATGTTGTCTTTTTTAAAAAAATGATATATATAGCAATATGATTGTAGAGAAAGATCAACCTTACGAATCTATAGAGATGCACATTTTAGCATATTTTAGTAGCCTACAGAATGTATTCTTTTCCAGTCACTCAACACTCATACAATTAATTTGCTTGAGAGTTTACCAAAGCCGGTGGGGCATACACCAAAAATCGCTGAGAAGATTCGAGGACTGAGGAGCAAGGGAAAACCCTAACTAACCTCAAATTAATTGGTTTTTACTGGAAAAAAAGGCAGAAATCGAGAGAGGGTTGGAGTTTACCTGTATAGGTGCTTGGGTATGGTACCGCTAGTCGACAGTCTTCTTCTACCACCAATGTTAGTAACCGGAACGTCGTGAGAATGCATCGATACAGTAGAACCGTATCCGATAGGGAAGAAAACTGATGAATTGATGGAGGTGTAATAGGTATCTAATATAAGAGATGGTGAGGGAGACACAATTTTTGACGGGAAGTATGTGTGGTCGCAAAGGGTCTGAAATCAATCAGACACAAGAACACCACCACATCTTCCCCTTCGTTGCTCTCTTTTTCAGGGTCCAAGTAGATCCTTCTGACTGGCTGCCGGAGGAGGATGCTTCGTCGGTGTCGTCGACTAGAGACCCGAGGCGGAGGCGTCGTCGGCCTTATCAATGACTTTGTGCCGAATGAACATTTGATTCAATTTTGACTTTATGGCTAAATGAACACTTGATTTAAAGTCTCAGAATTGTGAGGCTATTGGTGAATGGTGACCTAAAATAGTGATGAGGGTTTTGTTATCGGTGTAGTACGACAAGAAGGAATGCTTGGAGAAGATGGTCGGAGACACCTGGCGGTGCTAGATCGAAAGTTGTGTGGTGGTTTGATGCTGCTATGAAGACGAAGGGATAGGGCTTTTCTTGCTAATTGGAAGAGGGGGGGAAGGGGTGTTGGTTTAATTTTTGGGAATCAATAGGCGGGTGAAATCCCCCCTTAAAACGTGTGTTTCATTAAAATGTTATAAAGCGACACATTTAGACGATGCACATTTTATGAAAGGCGCCCTCCGCATTTCCTTTTTTTTTCTTTTCTGACACTAATTTTAGGGCACGCACAAATGCGTGTCCTCTGTCCTTCAAAGTTTGCAAAATTGACATTATTTTTTAGGGCGCGCACAAATACACATCCTGTATTAGTAAGTGCCATTGTTTGCGCGTCATTAAAGGGTTGTTTTCTAGTATTGAGGTAATGCTTTAAAATAAAGAACATTATTTAAAAAAGAATTAATACTACCATATTCATTATCAAAATAAAAGGTAAACCTTGTTTGTACAAAGCATGAAAAGAAATAATATTTCTCGTCATTTCAGACGAGTAACAACATTTATTCAAATCTAATGTTAACCCACTACTTAACAACAAAGTATAAACTCCAATGTTGGTGACAGGTGATGCTTTCCTATTCCCCATGATTAAGCTTATCTTCCCATCCTCCACATCCTCACTTCTTCTTAGCCCCTGCAAGTCAGAACAAATATGAATACCACAACCGGTATCAAGGACCCAAGAATAAGAATCGGGTGAGTTATTAGACAATATAGTGTAAATAACTACATGGTTGGGTTTCACTTTCCCATCCTTCACATCTTGCATATACTTTGGGCAGTTTCGATTCCAGTGTGATTTTTCATGGCAATAGAAGCATTCAGCCTCTTTAGGGTTAGCAGAAGGAGTGATGGAACCTTTCTTGGTTCCACTAGAAGATGAGCATTCAAGGGAATTTCCCTTGGTACCCTTTGAGGGTCTCTTCCTCTTCTTCCCTTTGCCTTGCCCGATTACCAAGACCAGGGCTACGGTAGGAGTAAGAGTGGTAACAAATGACTTACCCTTAAGACCACTTTTGGTGGTCTTCAAGAGTCCATAAATTTTGCTAAGTGTAACTTTCTCCTTGTTGATGTGATATGTCATTCAGAATTGATCAAAACAAGAAGGTATGTAGTAAAAAATGATATCAATTGCCAACTCCTCGTGGAAGTTCACATTTAACTTCAGAAACCGCTCCACATACCTTTGTATTTTCTGCAATTGGCCGGTTATGGGTTCACCATCCTTCATTCAGGTTGTTATTATGGATCATATGATGTCATACCACTCTTGGCGAGCACTTTGATGGCAGCGGTCCATCAAGTCCTGGTGCATCTCAAAAGGCTAATAGTCCTCATAGCACTTTTCAAGCTCAACTATCATTGTGGCTAACATGATACAAGCCACTTTAGTGGCATCTCACTCATGAGTCCAGAATTCAGTGATTTCCTTAGGAGTAGTAGACTACTCATCAAGTCCCTTCAGCTCCTTGTCGAGGACATATTCCTTGTCCTCGTAACGAGTAACTATCCTGATGTTTCGGATCCAATCCATAAAGTTGGAACCATCGAAGACAACTCTCCCACAAAGGTTCATGAGAGAGAATGAGTTGGTAGGGTTTGAGCTAGAAGCAACATTATTTGAAGACTGCTGAAAAGGAAGAAAGACAAGTTTCAAGTTTAGATTAGATATAAAGACAGTCCTTAATAAAACACATGATTGTAATATAAAGACTAGGACCTAACAAAATATTTTATAACTTAGAAGAGGGATGCCGTAACCAAAGCTATAAAATATTTGAAGTTAGGTGAATGACGATTCACCAATTTCCACTATAAAATGAAATAAATTATTAAGTTTTAATGGGTCTTGAAACTCCTAGATTCTTTGAGATTCATTGAACTTTTTAATGGCGTGTTTTAATCTTGAGTGTGCCCTTCAAGTTTTATGACTAGGATGTTGAGGATAACAAAACAAGGTGTGAAGTAACCATGCAACTTACTTGGTACCCTTAATATTTACCCCACAATCGATGTGTCGGTTAACCATATGCACTCCATCGATACTAGGATAAATATTAAGTTACCCTTTGCCTACCTTGTTATGTCTAAATTAGTGTGCCGGTTAACCACACACGCTCCACTAATGACTTAAACAAAGTGCAAAGTGTAATTTCATGGGTTAGAACCTTATTCATATTTTCCTAAAGTAACTAAGATTAGGAATTTATAAAAACATTTAGTTACTTTAGTATCATTATACTTTTAATGAGGTTTAAAGTCATTGTCCTACCCGTTCGGCTAACGACCCTCCACCAGTTAAGGAAGCGGTGAGTTAGAGTGGACACCCATTAAGCTGCTATTTTATAGGCAACAACCTTATACCCCCCCTTATAGACCAACTTCGTGAATGACGCCTACTAACGGTAAAACGACTTTTGTTCTTATATATATATATATATATATATATATATATATATATATATATATATATATATATATATATATATATGTATATATAGATATAGATATATATATATATATATATATATATATATATATATATATATATATATATGTATATAACTTATAATTGTAACAGCCCGGAATTTCAGGTATTTTTATAATATTGTTTTTGGGGTGTTTTAGGAAGGGACTCGGCGAGTTGGAGCCAGACTCGCCGAGTAGGACCACAGACTGGGTCGCGGGTTCGCGACTGGACTCGACGAGTCCATTATGGACTCGACGAGTCTGCGCTGTTCAGCGGAAACCCTAGCCGTTTGGTTTTGGATCGTATATAACGCCTTTTAGGCCGTCATTGTCCGTCTTTTAGCCGATTGAGAAGAACCCTAAGCGTCTGTGGACATCTAGAGCAAGATTTGAGGCTATTGGAACTTTGAAGAGATTGTTGGGCAAGAAGGAGAGGAGTTTTGGCTAAAGGAACAGCAAGGGATTCGAGTTCTGAGGTTTGGGGACACAGAGAGTACGTTTTTCAGGTAATACTTCGGATCATTCCTGTTATTTTGATGTGTACACGGATTTAGGGTTTATGAAACCCATTTGGTGATTAGATGGATTATTATGTTGTTACCCAAACGTTTATACCCCAGTAATAGGATGTTTAGAGGTCCAGAAAGTCCCATGATTGTGTATTTCGGGACCATACGTATTTCAGGAAGCAGTTGATCGACTGCATGGCATGGACTCGCCGAGTCCAATGAACAGACTCGGCGAGTAGCTTGAAGATTCACTGGGACTCGCCGAGTTGTTCTTCAGACTCGGCGAGTGGAGTCGGGGTGGCCCCGCGATTCTTCCACGTGGATCTCGTCGAGTCAAGGGGGATACTCGACGAGTAGAAAGGGAACATCAGGGAAAGTTGGAGAGGACGTCTCGACTCGTCGAGTCACCTTTGCACTCGACGAGTCCGGTCCAGTTGACCGTTGACCAGAGTTGACCTGCATATAATTTCTTAGGGTTAGTTGTCTTGAATGATAAGAGTATTAATAAGGGTATATGGTATTATAGGGAGTCTGTAGATCGGCGGATCGAGTGCGAGTGATTTCAAGAATTGATAGTTTTCATTACCACGAGGTGAGTCTTCTCACTATACTACACCCGGAAGGGTTTGACTGTGTGACCGGAAGGTCGGATATGATTTGTGTTATACGTGCTATAAATGGTAAGGTATTTGCTACGCGTGCTATGTATGTTTATACGGGCCGGAAGGGAATATGTTATGTGACTGAAAGGTCGGATATGATATATGATATATGTGCTATATGTGTTAAAATTAATGTATTAATTGCTGTGTATGTTTATGGGCCGGAAGGCAATATGTTATGGGCCGGAAGGCAATATGTTATGGGCCGGAAGGCAATATGTTATGGGCCAGAAGGCATTATTTTATGGGCCGGAAGGCAATATGTTATGGGCCGGAAGGCGATTATCTCAAGGCCTGGAAAGGCGTATATGCGTAAGTAGTATACTGGGGAACTCACTAAGCATTTATGCTTACAGTTGTCATGTATGTGTTTCAGGTACTAGCGAGGACCGTGGGAAGGCACCGGCATGACGCGTACACACTGTTGATGTTTTGAGATCTTGGGGATTTTATGATTGTATTTTGATATGAAATTTGGAATAATTATATTTGGTTGAAATAATTCACTTTATTTTAAATGAAAAATTTGTTTGAAAATTTGCGTTGTTACAATAATATTATAACGTATAAGGGTTGAATTTGAACTTTTAAAATTCTAGGGGTTGGAACTAAATTTTTTAATGTGACTTTACATGTTCCAAAACTTGAGGCCAAGTTTTGTAACTTTCAAAACTTTTCGTCTTGCATAACATATGAGTTAATGGATTAATAAAATGAGAGACTTTTCATTTTATGTAACCTATGTGCTTAATAATGGATTTTAAAAGTGTGACTTTTGGTAATCCATACGTTGAGGAAAAATTATGTATTCCATTAAAAAAACATCAAGATCAAGAATTAAACTACCAAGCAAATTACAAATAATTCCTATGATCTTCTAAACTCATAAGTTCATGAACATGCATATCAACAATTTCAACAATCATAAATAAACCATATAAAACTTGAAATTTTGATATTAGCCATTATAAATGGATTAGAGCAACCATTACACCATCTAAAACAAGTTTTAAATCACCAAAACAGTTTAGGGTAACGTTTCTAGTCCATTTCCAACAGCAAAAGTCGAAAATCTGTAGTCAGAGGTTCCTACTCGTCGAGTCCCCCCATGGAATCTGCGAGTCCACTATCCAAATAGCAAGATTTTCAGCTTTTTTCACAATTTTGCAT